CCCCCCCGCCCCTCACCCTTTCTCCTTAGGTTGCACGAGGAGTGGATTTTTCCTTAACATTTTCTAGCCATCCTTCGTTAGTAAAGTGTCTAAGTAAGCTTGGAGCACCCGAATTTTCCCTTAGCGTCTTCAAGGGCCCCCCCCCCCTCCTTTCTCCTGAGGTTGCACGAGAGGAGTGGATTTTTCCCTTAGCGTTTTCTAGCCATCCCGTGTTTGAAAGTCAGCTTTAGAGCACCCAAAATTTCCCTTCGCGTCTAAGTGCAAACTCTTCACAGGCCCGGATTTTAAGTTTTCACTTTGGGGTGCGCCCGTGACCGTTAAGGGCGCCCAAACGCTCAGCTACACCAAAAACAGGGTCAGATGGGGAGGAGCTGGGGAGCGCAAGTATGGGTCCCAGGAACTTCGACAGGCCTGGCGCCAATCCATTTTCCGCTGCACACTTCTGTCCTCAACAATTCTCCTTCGCGAGAACTCCGCAGTTGCCTGCGTATGAAAGTTAGTACAGCTGGTAACTGGTCCGTTTGTTTCGTCATGACGCCTGCGCATGAGTAGCTCATCAGTTCATCGTAGAGCATGCCACGAATATTGCGGTCCAGTTTGAGTTATCGGCCTAGAAGTAACGATCACGGCGGCTTAACATTGTCATGGCGAACCTTTCCGCAACAGAACGACCAGCTGGACCTCTCAATCAACGCGGCGCGTAGTTGCCTGCACACCGGACGACTCTTGAGTTTCGAGGCGCCTCAGAAAGCAATCACCTGCCAGAAACACGCTGAGTGCGCTCGAATTCTGCCTTAGGTCGTTTCGCCGCGCGCTACCCGTGGCGCGTCCAGGGCAGACGCCAGCATGGCAGGCGAACCCATTCGCTGGGCCGAGATCGACGCCTTCGCGGGCGGCGGCGGTTGCGGCGACGTTTGCGGCGCTAGGCGGACGCTCAGTGCCAACGCGCATCCGCTAGGTGGTAGCAGATTACGCTCGCCGGCAGCCACGGTAGCCAGAAATCGCTGGACGGATTCTGAGACGCCGGACGCTCTGACGGATTCCGTGACGGAGTCCGTCGTGGAACGGGCCGGTCCTGGCTGGAAGCCGACGGGTCGGGTGCGACGCGGCGGCGGCGGCGTGCAGCGGTCGCGCAGCGTGGAAGGCCCGGGGATGGCGACGGATCGCGAGTTTGCAGACAACGGCGGCGGCGGCGGCGCCGGAAATATGCAGCGCCACGTGATGGTTAGAGCGGCTTCGCGCGATGACAGTTGGGAAGGTGAGAGGCGAGCAGAAAGGACGAGGGGACCAGAGAGGGGAGTGGCAGAAGGAGCGACTTGAGTTGAAACGACGGTCGCACGACAAGCCTAGTATGGACCTCGATTCCGCGCCGGCCCACATTCTTTGCTTCCCTTCACTCCTCAATCATCTCCCTTCCCCCTTTTTACTCAATCGACAGCGCTGGAGCAGCAGTGTCGGCGGATGGAGTTGGTGGGGCTGCAATAAGATTCTCCTTCCTAATTTCCCTCCCATCCCCGATCTCCTCCCTCACCCCTCCCCCCCACTCCGCCACCCACTCCCCCCTTTCGCCCAACCCCGACAGCGCTGGAGCAGCAGTGTCGGCGCATGGAGGCGGTGGGGTTGCGCATTGACAACATCGACCTCACTTGCCTCGACGCGGAGCCCGCTCCGCACTCCCCGCAGTCGGCGCAGTCGGCGCAGTCGGCGCGGTCGCTCGCGCTGGCTCGGCTTTCCGCCGCCACCGCCGGCGCGCCAGCCAATGACCCTGACGGCGCGCCAGATGTCGGGGAAACGCGCCGCGACTCGTGGCGTGCGCCTGCGGGGGCGCGGAAGAGCGAATGGGGGGAGGCGGCGGAAGGGCAGGAAGCGGGGGAGGGGACGGGGGAGGCGCACGTTAAATACGCTTTCAGCTTAGTTCCTACGCCGCGCGCAAAGCGCGATGAAAACTCCCAATGGTCAGACGATTCGGTACAGGTGCAACATCCTGACGGATCGGATTTGCCGCGGCCTCGTGCCCCTTCGTTAGACGGCGGCGCTGACGTAACAGAACCCGAAGGCTCTCTCGATTTCGCCGCGATATTAGCTAACGGCACGCGCGATAGAGTCACACTGCCTGGGGATGCTCCCTCGCCGTCCGCGCCGCCTGTGTTGGTCTCCGCAGCAGTGTCAGCTCACAAGGGCGGAAATGCCCCCCCTTCTCCATGCGCCCCTGTCTTGCTACCCGGGGTGATTTACTGTGCAAATAGAGACTGTACCACCGGTTCGCTTGGGCAGGGCCTTCCGACACCAGTGCAGACGGTTACGAACGACATCAGCACCACCCATTTTGCCGCAACAGGACAGTTTTCCCATGGCCCACCCGATTCCATGCACCAGTCTTCGTTCCGCTCCCCCCATTCCTCCGCTCACTCCTCCCCTTACTCCTCTCTCTCCATCCTCCCTCCCTCCTCCTCCACAGTCTCTTATGACCACACACTCCCCTCTCGGTCCGCAATCCCTACGCAGGCCTCCTACTCCCCCACCTCCTCCACTTTCCACTCCTTCGCCTCCCCTGCTTGCGCCTCCCCCCTTGGCGCCTCCCCCGCTTGCACCTCCCCCATCTCCGCCACCCACGCTCCTTCCTTTCCCCCCACCATGCCCAGGCCTGCCCGGCAACCTGCCCGGGGCGTTCATCGCAGGAGCAGCTCGCTTTCGGTGCTGACCGAGAATCTGCCCGGGGTGGCACCTGCAGCCTTCAACTCCCCCTGCAGCATCAGGCCAGCACACACACACCTGTCCGCATCCACTGTTGTCTCTCGACCGTCAGCAGAGAAACCCCCGACGCCTCGTAAGGCATTGGTGGCCCCCAGGTTTGCTCGCTCTCCTCACGAGCCCTCTGCTGCAGCTGGTAGCAATTCCCCCCGCCTGCAGCACATGCAACAGTCACAGCAGGTGCAGATGCAGCAGCAGCAGATCGAGCAGGTGCAGCAGATGCAACAAATGCAGCACGTGCAGCAGTACCAGCAGGGCCCACAGTCGCACCAGATCCACCAGATGCAGCATTTGCAGCAGCAGCACATGCAGCAGCAGCACATGCAGCAGCAGCACATGCAGCAGCAGCACATGCAGCAGCACCACATGCAGCAGCAGCACATGCAGCAGCAGCACATGCAGCAGCAGCAGCACCAGATGCAACACGTGCAGCACGTGCAGCAGTACCAGCAGGCCCCACAGGTGCAGCAGGCGCGGCCTACCAGAGAGAGCATCGCGACAGGCCGACCCCATACCCCATCTCTGCACCGCTTCACCCCGTCGCTGCCTGAGCTATCAGTGGCAGATGCAGTGGAAGAGGAGGGGGGGGAGGGGAGCGAGGAGGGGAGTGATGGGAGTTTCTCAAGGAGCCCAGTAGTGGCTCAGCTGCCATGGAAGGATGGGAAGGGAAGGCATGGTGCGCCGATGCAAGCTCAGAGGTTAGGTGTATTAGGCCACTCTGGGAGGCTCGGGTCACCAACGCAGGCTGGGAGGATCGGTTCACCAATGCAGGCTGAGAGGCTCGGTTCACCAACGCAGGCTCCAAGGCTTGGGGACACGGTACAGGTTCGGAGATTCTCCCCAGGTGGTGGTGGTTTTCCAGCTGGAGGTTCGGGCAGGGCCGGCGCAGAAATCAAGGTCTGGGAGACATCAGAAAGGGGTTTGTTGCAGGGGAAGGGCCGGTCTGTTTCTAATAGAGAGACTGGTTATAGGAGTATGAGCAGCGATAACGTCCTGGGGGAGTGGAGCGACATTGAGGCAGATGCTGAGTGGGTGGCGGTGGGAGGGACGCAGGCAAACGCAAGGGAGGCTGGGGGGTTGGATGGTGGCAGTCCTAATTGCAGTGGTTACAGGGGTATGAGGGGTGGTGCTGCAGCAGCGCATGAGGATGTGAGGGGTGGCAGTGTGAGGGGCCAGGAGGATTGTGTGAAGAGCACGAGGAGTGTGTTGAAGAAAATGCTGTGGCGGTTCAAGTCAGGACCAGGTGGACAGGCAGAGGAGTCTGCCAAGGGGAAAACACCGCCACAGCAGGAGCAGGAAGAGGAGGAGGAGGCAGAGGAGGCGAGGCAAGGCGAGCAGGAGCAGGAGAGGCATGGAGGTCACACAGTGCGTGTCTTTGCAGTAGCAGAGTGTTGACCTGTAGGATCAAGGTCTTGAGATCCTGCAGCATCACTTTATGGGATGCGGTGTTGGGTTGCTTTGTTGGGTAGCTTTGCTTGCTGTTTAGTAGGCTAGAAGCTGACAGGTGGTGTGCATATCCGTTTATCCTGGTAGATAGATATACTGTATGATTCGGTGGCGGATTGAAGCTTGGGATTACCCCATACCGTATTCTGCATACCACAGCATGTATTAGTATAGAGTACAGCCACAAGGGGCTACAGTGAAGGGGGCACGAGAAGTGCCCGTGACAGGCAACCTTGCTACCAACGCACCTGTCTTGCCCCAGTATAACCCCTAATTAGATGGTCCTACATTCACCCCACCATCCCCCCATTCTCGACACCCACCACCACCACACCACCACCACACCACCCCCATACCTATGGTGCCTCGTTGCACATCAGGAGGCAAGATGCATGGCCAAGCCAAACCTCATGCGACAATACAATAGCCAGCCAAACCTCACATCACTCCATCCATGATCCACCTCCAGCAACCCCTCCGCCCCTTACAGTCACATTAGCTGACAGTCCCTTGGTTATTTCAGCCCCATGGTGCATACCACCTTCTGCACGTGACTACAGCGAAAGGTGGCCACAGCCCCCGCTCCCAGCTTCCACACTGCAACCAACCGCCCCTTACAGTCACAGCAGGTGGTGCTCCCCCAGGTACTGCAGTGCCATGGTGCACGTGACTACAGAGAATGATGGTCCCAACCACCACCCCCTCCCAGGAACCTAGCCCCAGGGGGGAAACCTAGCCGCAAGGGGCTGAAGAAGCAAGAAGGGGATGACGGTGCATCCAGCCCCCAGCAACACACCGCCCAGTCACAGCAACTTGTGTTCCCGCAGGTACTGCAGAGCCATGGTGCACGTCACAACAGACGGCAGCAGCATGTCGCCGCCCAGCGCCAGCCTGTCAAGGTCGCGGGCCGGCAGGTGCAGCACCTGGATGAACTCCTCCGGGTCGCGCGGCAGCGGGGTGGGGTCGGGGAGCGGGTCGATGACCAGGAACGGTGTGAAGCGGTTCTTGCACCACTTCACCTCGAGAAGGCCCGGGTGATCCTCAGGGATCAACCTGACAAGCCGGCCGCCACGCAGACGCGCCTGGTGGTGAGGGTTGAGTCAGGGGTTGAGGGGATTGAGTTAGGGGGTGGCAGCGGGGTGGGATCGGGCAACGGATCGATGACAAGGAACGGTGTGAAGCGGTTTTTGCACCACTTCACCTCCAGCAGCCCCGGGTGGTCCTCAAGAATCAGCCTCACGAGCCGGCCGCTACGCAGACGCGCCTGGGGGTGGCAGGGGTTGAGTCAGGGGTGGGACGGAGGGAGACAGGGGCTGAGAGGAGTGAAGGAAAGAACGACACAATATTCCAGCGTCTGATGCAAATCGGACAACCACATGGTGGTGCAGATTGCGTCTGATACAAGCAGGCCTCTTTGGGATGCACTTTGGGATGCAAAGTGGCATGCATGTTCGGAAGCACATGGTGGTGCGGACTGGCAGCTCACCTCCTCGGACAGTTCACTCCGGACGCAATCCTCCAGCGACGCATGCGAGCTGCTGAGGCCCCCACACGGCACCGTGTACAGCAGGCTGTTGGCGCCCTGTGGGGGAGGAGGGCATGGGATACATTGCATGGCGGTGAGGTGCGATGGAGGAAAGAGGTAACAGAGCGTGTGCGAGCTGTTGAGGACCCCACAGGGCATGGTCTGTGGGATGACGGACTGGGTGGCGGAGTGATCAAGTCAACTCGAAATGCATCATGTGTAGGACTGGCACACACCTGGGCGTACTCCTTGAGGAGGGTGACGGACTGGGTGGCGGAGTGGAAGGGCAGCACGCAGATGAAGTGGCTGCTGGCGGACGACACAATGTCATACTCCACCACCTTCTGCCCGCGCCCCTGCCCCCCTCCTTGCTCCTGCTGACCCTGCTGCTGCTGAAAAGAGGTGCTCTGCAGGCTGGGTCCTGCTGCACAGGCGGCCACGATCGGGCCCCTTGCACCAGACGCCCCATAAGCAGATCCGTTAGCTGCACGAGCTGCACCAGCAGCAGGAGCTACAGTGGCTGCTGATATCTGGTCGAATGTGGGCGTGACGGGGCCGGTACCCGCGGCATGCTGTGGCTCTTGCTGCGCGAGAGGCAGTGGCGGGTGCTGATGGGGCGACACAGGTGGAAAGAAGTGGGTCAGAAATGGAAGTGGGACGGAGGAGAGGAAGGGGAACGAGGAGTACACGAGTACGGATTGAAGGAAAAAAACAGGAGGGTGAAGGAACGAGTGCTGGGATACACTAGCTAATGGTTCAATGCGCTAATCGATCAACTGCTCCCATGCCTCACCTCCACGACGCGGCTGTAGATCTTGAGGAAGCGAGAGAACTTGAGCTCCTCCTGGCACGAGCAAGAGGGGGCGACAAGAGGGAACGGCGGCACTACAAGCATGAACTTTCCGAAGGCAAGAGCACAACCGATCTATCCACTCAATCACTCGATCGCTGCTGCCACGCTATGTTTAGTGATCATCAAGCGCTGAAAGAGTAGCTTCCCCCAAGGCAGCTGGCCTCAAGGCAGCTAGCATCAGGCAGAGCGGTCGGTACCTGGAATCAGAGCTGAGAGCATAGACATTCATAGATCCAGGGCTTGTAATCCCCCAAGGAAGAACGCACCGAGCATCTACACGTGAAAGAAGCATTGTTGGATACGGATATACCACCGCATACCTTGATGATCTTGAATCCGTGCGGATGATCGCCGTCAGCTCCTCCTCTCTCTTGCTCCTCGTGTTCCACCAATCGGTTTTCCACCTCAATCTGCGCCTTTCCATTGACCGTTGTCCTCTCTCCTTCCGCCATTGATACTTTCTGCTCCTCCAACACCTGCAGATTCTGATCTTCACGCGTCTCCTCCTTCGCTCGCAGCTGCCCAGCCTTTCGCGCCAAAAGCCGGATCCTGTTCAGCATCTCGTTCTTCTGAATCCCCGTGTCATTTCCAGTGACAACCCCAGCGACATCAGCAGCACCAGCAGCAGTCAGCGCACCAAGTGCAGGTTTCACCATACCCCCGTTCAGCGTGATCCCCAGATTTTCCAGCAGGTGAGAGTCTTCCCCCAGAGTCTCAACAGAGAGGCAGTCCGTTGGTAGCAGCAGCGAGGGAGGCAGAGAGGGAGGTGCGAGCAGGGCAATACCTCCCGTGACCGAGTCTTCCTCTGAAAGAGAGCCACGGAAGAGAAGAAAAGCACGAAGGGCAGGAGGGTGGGGTGGGGGGAAGTCAGAGGCGCAAATTGATTCGTTAAGTGACAGCATATCAGTCACTCCCGGATCCGCACTCCTGTCCACAGCATGCGTCAGCTCGTCACAACATTGAGCTAGCATACCGGCAAGCTCCCTTTCGATGGTTGCTGATGCTTCTCGCCTTCCGCCTCCTGGAAATGCTTTCCGGGAAGTACAGCTGGCAGCGCCGGAGCCCTGGAAAGAAGGCCCTGGTCGGCACGGCGATGACGTCCGGCATGGCGACGATTGCCTCGGGGGAACACCTAACGGCGGCTGCCGCTGCTGGAGGGGCCATTGCGGTCGGGGGAGAGGCTGGAAGCTCCCTTGATTATTCTGACTGGCTGTGTTGAAGACGCGATGGGAATGACGACGAGTTGAGGTGACAGGGCTCGACGGGCGAGGCCGACCCACGCAACCTGAAAGGTGAACCGTGACGAACGGGGGGAAGGAATGAATGTGAATGGCTGATCATGGTGGTGCCTCAATACAGCAAATCAGGACAAATCAGATACGCTTGAAAGAAGACAGTGGGTTGGCAAAGGCCTCACTTGTTACTGACGCCATTGCATCCCCAAATTTAAGGAGGGTGCTGGTGCGCTACTCAGTTCTACCCCTTCGGACTTCTCTCCAAGTTCAGGGTGAAGTGAAAATGAGGAATATGCGCTGTTTCAGAATGTGAGAATCTCTGCTGACAAATAGTTATCAGAAGTTAGCAGGCGTTGCAAGATGATCAGTAAGTTGAAATACCACAGAATTTCCCCCTTGTTTGGGAATCGACTAGCCTTGTGCAAACTGAGATCCACAATGGGATCACCCCGTAGTTGTAGTTTCGCCTGGCAATGGGATTTATTAGTTGCCTCTGACTTACTTTCCTGACGGTCTGCCTTCCCTTGAGAATTGGTTACTGACTTCAGGGATGAGCGATGAGGAAAAAGTGCTGCCACGCTGACAGACTGAGGGGGAGTAGACGGGAAAGCGGGAGTGGTGATCCAGCTGCTATTGGCCCAACAGTCGGAACTTCCAGAAAAGCTGGAGATTGACAAGAAAAGGGTCTTTGAGGTTGGGCGGAAGTTTGGGCATTTATCTTAGCGGTAACACTCATGGAGCTCAATCGCACCCGAGGTAAGCCACGTGTACATTTTGTAACAAAGGTATCGTGTCCTCGCCACTGTTGTAACCATTATGGCTAAATGGTCATATTTTTGCCTGCATGGTAATGAACAGTGCATCCGGAATTCCTGGCTGGTAGCTTCGCGTTTCAACCAGACTGTACACCGTACAAGTAGGGTTTGACTCAGTGTAAGGAATTTTCTCGGCATTCCTTACGGGGCCGACTACATCGCGTACAGCAACAGCCGATTGTTCGCCCGTTACTGCTAACGGAACTTCGCCGACTTCGCGCGCACTATTTTGCCAAACCTCGCACTGCTGGCATGGCCGTATCGGCCTACGCTTCGGGACTAGCCCGAGCCTCGCTCCAGCGTAGCACTAGCAAGCTCGCACGCACCGCGTTACCGTTTTGCATGTTTCGCGTATAAATATTCGCTCATGCCTTCGCTCACATTTTGTACTCGTTTGACACCCTAGTGCAATTCTCGCTACTTCGATTCATTGCACCCGTAACACTTGGTTATCAGAGCCCCTTTCTTTCGGACCGCGCATCTCCGCACACCAGGAAATCAACTTTTGATTTTTCACTCGAAGGGACTCACGCACCTTAGCCCCTAGGAGCCGCTGTCCTCGCGTTCTCTCGTAAACGCGTGCAGCCACGACTGCGCCTAGACTAAGACGAGCCGACGCCCTTCGTCATGGCTGAAAATATCGACGTCACCACCCTCACGCAGGAGCGTTTGAACGATCTGCTGCGACAACTGCACGAAAGCTCCGAGGAAATCGCGGCATTGACGGCAGAACGCTCATCACTGCAAAATGACCTCATGAGAGCACAATCTCAAGCACCTGGCACTCCGATTCAACCCGCACCCTCAACATCACAACACGGGAGTGTGGGGCAACCCGCGAGCGCGGCCAGTGATGGCGTCGTCCGCCCCGACGGAGACGACGACCACGGCACGACACACCCCAGAGCGACGCCTGCGGCCCCAAGTCAGCCTCGCGTCACGATTTCGGCACCAACCCACGATTCGGGACTGCCGTCACCGATGCCACTGAAGCCGCAGCGCCCGCCATGCTTTGACCCGAGTCAACGGGGTGGTCCTACCGTCCAGGCGTGGTTGTTCACAATGAATGTCTTCTTCGACGCCAACTACGTCTCGGAGGACTCGGCGAAGATTCGATACGCCGTGTCGTTGCTGCGAGGACCCGCCATGGACTGGTGGCGCGTCATCGTCACGAAGCCGACCGACTACGCGACACTACCGACACGGGAAGGACAAACCGGACCCTGGGCGCCGTCGTATTTCGTGGAGGTGCCCCAGTATCGCACGTGGGACGCGTGGTGCGCAGGTCTGCGCGCTCGGTTTGAGCCAATCGCGGCCTCGATCTCGGCGCGACAGAAGATCCGCACTTGGCGCCAACTCGGTTCCGTCCAGGATTACACAAGCGGATTCCTGGCGCTATGCGAGCAGGTGGGCTACATGCATGAGAGCGAACGCATCGACCGCTACATCGGCGGCCTGAAGCAGGACATCGCTCAGGAAATCCAGCTTCGCAGCGTCACTAAGTTTCAGGAAATTCTCGCTATGGCGGAGAAGCTCGACTTCTTTCGCCGACCGAGACCGGGGTCCTACGGAAACAACAACTGGGGACATCGGCCTCGTGGGACGAACGAAAACGCCACGATACGCGCCGTCGCCGCAAATGCCGCTGCCGCACCGTTCAAAGGGCGCTGCTTTGCGTGCAATCGGCCGGGACATCGCAAGAGCGAATGCCCGGAAAACGCTAAGGGAAAGGGGGAAGCTGAGCAGCAGACACAGACCAAGCAGCAGGGAAACGCTGGAAGTCAGTAGCAGACGGGCCCTCTACTGACAGGTCACGCCGCTCGCCCGACCCAACCGACCCTCACCGAGTGATTGTGCCGGTTCACGCAATCGACCACACCCGGCCGAATAAGGAGGGTACCACGGTAGATAGCCCTATACTGCTCAGTGGGAAAATTGGGACGGACTTAGTTAAAATCTTCGTAGATGGGGGAGCCAGCCACAGCATCATTAACACTGCTACAGCACGAAAACTGCGACTGCCACTGGACCGATGCTTACCTGAGATCGACGCACGACTGGTAGACGGCACGCCGCTGGCAATACGGGAACGCGTAGACCGAGTTCGGATTCGATGCGGGGGTAACTTCACGTTTAGTCAGGAAATGCTCGCAACGACCCTCGACGGAACCGACATTTTACTCGGGCGTGATTGGCTGCGACGACACAATCCGCGAATTGACTGGACGACAGGTGACTGCACCGTGCGAGTAAACGGTAACAACATCGCCTTACCTCGCTGGGGCTCGCCTGAGTCTTCGTCGGTGCGTGTCAACGCGATCACGATGAAACGCGCTGTTGCGTCCGGAGCCGACGTGTACGCGGTTGACATTCGGGAAGCCGAGGCAGCAGACAAGGGGGGCGATTTACAGAAACTGCTGACCGACGTACCGAGTGACCTGGCGGTACTGTTAAAACAGTACAGTGACATTTTCCCGGACGACCTGCCGACGGGACTGCCACCTCAGCGACCGCACGATCACAGGATAGAACTGGAACCGGGGGCACAGCCAACAGTACAGCGACAGTTCAGACTGACCCAACCCGAACTAGACGAACTGAGGAAGCAGCTCGATTACCTGCTCGAAAAGGAATTCATTCGCCCTAGTTCGTCGCCCTTCGCCGCACCCATACTGTTCACACCGAAAAAGGACGGGGGATTTCGCATGTGTATCGACTACAGGGCACTGAACAGGGTTACCATCAAATCCCGTTACCCCATCCCACGAGCCGACGAACCGATCGACCAACTGCGCACAGCCCGGGTTTTCTCGAAAATTGACCTCCGGGGAGGCTACCACCAAATCCGCGTTAATCCACCCGACTGCCCTAAAACCGCATTCCGAACACGCTACGGATCTTTCGAATACACCGTCATGCCATTCGGATTGACCAACGCCCCCGCCACCTTCCAAATGACCATGAACAAAGCATTCTGCCCGCTTTTCGATAAGTGCGTCATCGTTTATCTGGACGACATACTGATTTACAGCCCCGACAGAGCACAGCACTTACACGACATCGAGGCAGTTTTTAAAATCCTAAGTGAGAACCGCCTACTGACCAAAGCATCTAAGTGTGAGTTTTTACAGGACCGCCTGGAGTTTTTGGGACATGTTATTTCAGCTGCGGGAGTGGAAATCGACCCGAAGAAAATTGCGACGATTCAGGCGTGGCACGCGCCGACCAACCTGACCGAGTTGCAGAGTTTTCTGGGGTTCGTCAACTACGTGCGTCGGTTCGTCCCCGACATGGCGAAGCTGACTGCCCCGTTGACCGACCTGCTGAGGAAGGGGGTTGAGTACACGTGGGGGGAGAAAAAGCAAGCTGCCTTCTCGGCCCTCAAAAATATTTTGTGCTCCCCGCCCGTCCTTCACATTGCAGATCCCCACCGTCCGTTTGAGCTCGTCACCGACGCAAGTGACATCGCTGTGGGAGCAGTTCTGTTGCAGGACTTCGGGAACGGCCTCCAGCCAATCGCGTACGAGTCCCGCAAACTACACCCGCCCGAACGTAACTACCCGATACACGACCGCGAGATGCTGGCGATCGTGCACGCGTTCAAAGTTTGGCGATGTTACCTGACTGGCGCCGACGTGACAGTACGGACAGACCACCGCTCGCTACAGTGCCTTCGCGCCCAACCGAATCTCAACCCACGACAGATTCGCTGGTTGGACTATCTCGAGTCCAATTTTCACTACACCGTTACGTACAAGAAAGGCGCATCCAACATCGCCGACGCTCTCACCCGCCCCACCGCCCAACTCCACGCCATCCTACTCGCCCAGACCAACCCGCTTTTAACTGGCCTATTCACCCACGGATACCGCACCGACCCATTCTTGACGACCGGAAATTCACAGCAACTGGTAGAAGCAAAAGGAGTCTATTACGTAAAAACAGGCACCAACCGCATTTGGGTACCCGCGTACTCACTACTGAGGGAGCTGCTGCTGCAGGAGGCACACGACGGGATTACCTCGGGACATTTCGGGGTAGAAAAAACACGACAGCAACTGCAGCGGTACTATTACTGGCCGGAGCTGTTGACCGACGTACAGCAGCACGTGGGCTCGTGCCCGACGTGTCAGGTGATAAAGAGTTCAAGGAAGCGGAAGGCGGGTCAATTGCAGCCGATACCACCGCCCGAACGCGCCTGGCAGCAAGTAACCATGGACTTCGTCACAGGGTTA